GGCTGACCTGATGGTCTCACAAGGGGCTGCAGCTATTTCCCGTGTTAATCCTAAACCAGCATGCTCAGACCAGGGTGGAAGGACAGCCATACTTCGTCCTCTCCAGCCAGTGGCTCCAAAGAGACCTGGAAGAAATGGTGATTAAGTTGCTGTGGGCCCAGTTTGCCCAGACCCACGCAAAAAAGTCTTTTGATACTGAAAAAACTCTGTGGACAGATGTTCTTTTGCAGATCCAGCTGTGCTGCTGGAGTAGGCTGCTAGCCCAAACCCTTGATCACTTCTCTTGACTACAAGTGTGAGTGTAGCAACTTTCTAATATATTTCCAAGGAGGACCAGAGTAACTAAAATATGCTGAGTTGTTTGGTCTTTGGTAACTTCAGCTGCTGTGGGATAGGGAGCTCTAACAAGAACAGCTGCGGCTGGTATGAGTAGCTGGCAGGCAACAACACAGCTGTACGCAAAGTGCCTCCGTCCACATCCTTACTGCCTTTGCCACTGCAATTAAAGATCTGACGATAGGGCCTTGTCTGTGTTCCCGAGTAATGCCAGCTCAGCATCAGGTGGCCGTTGCCCACATCTGCAGTCAGTGCTGACCTTGAAGATCTCGTCAGAGCTAAGCTGTGTTTGCTGCTCTTGCTGCACTGGCACTGGACAGAGCAAAAGCAAGCTAGGACTTGTCATCCCAGTGAGCTGAGGCTTGTGCTGCTCGTAATGAGACCACACTGTCCAGGTAGCTTGCTTTGTCCCCTCGTCTGCTGCTGGCCACTCAACATCTATGTTGGTGGTTTCTGTTCAGCAACTGCTGAACACAGACAAGGCTTAGAGGAGGACCCTGTTTTTACCTGCTGAAAATACTGAGGATATGAGTATTCACGCATAGTTGTTTGTACTAGAACATTAAGAGCCGTACTAGCAGGTCTAGAGGCAGCTGTAGGGTGATGTCAGTTGTAGAAGATGTAATTGACATTTTCACATATGTCAATAAGCAGAGATTAAACAGGCATAAAAATAAATTAGCCGTTAAGCACTGTGATCTGGACCATGGTTCACAGGACACAATTAGTTTGTACACTGAGGGATTACCTGAGTTCCTAAGTCTTACACTGTAGTTGTCTTACGAATTGGGTTTGATTTACAGTAATGCTACAGGAGTCAGTGAGAATTAAATCAAAATGTTTTTAGTGTAATTTGCTCTGATCTTGGATTTCATGATAGTGGTTGAATTACATAAACAGTGGATTAGGTTTGTTTAGACTTCTGAATCCCTTTGCCTTCAAGAAATGGCATCTAGTCTGTAATTCCCGTCAGCAGGACTCAAGAGAGGGACATAATTTCACCCATACCTGTGGTGTAAGTACAGGGTGAACAGTTTTAGCGTGGTTTGATGATCAGTACCAGACTGTGACTAAGCTTATCATGGGACTAAGCGTAATATTCAACTCCACTGCAGTCACCTTGTGTGTCTGACTGGGTCTGTATGTTATGTTCAAGGAGTTTGTATTTATGTGTTTGGGTTGTGCCTTTCCTTCAGCTGAGCTCCTTCTAGTTCTGCTTTGATCCAACATTTAAAAAAAAATAATTAAAAAATAATCTGTCTTTCACACAGAAAAGTAATATAATGAAATAATTGAAGACTTGTTATTTGTCATCACCATGGCTTTAGGAAGAAAATTGATGCTCATTTAAGTTGCGTAAGATAGATAGCAGCTTTACCGGGGGAAGCGAATGTGTCATGCCCAAGCCAGTGAGGGCTGGCTTCTTCAGTGGCCTTTAGGCAGACAGGTGCATGGCAGGGTTTTCTTCCAAGCATTTAGGCATTTTGGATTTACGTATGAGTTTGATGCTTAAAGGTGATTCTAAATTTTCTTGTAAGTGCCTAAGAGACCTTTGAAATACTGGTCTTTAACCACCACTTTGTAATTTGCTATCTGAAAGTCAGTCTTTCATTGAAATATGGCACCACCTTGTCAAAAAAAGTACAAAAGCTTCAGAGATGTGGATTGACTTGCATCTGGTTCTCACTGTAAGGAATAAGTGTCTTTAAATTGGCTAATAGAGTTCACAGCTGATCTACAGCAACTGAAAAGAGCAAAACATGAAAGGAATAGTCTAGAATCGCTAGTGCTAACAACAGCAGAGTGATTAAAAGTGTTTAGAAAGGATTTCTTTCAGAAGTAATGGTTCTTAGAAAGACCTGGCAATTTTTTCCCCCCAGTTCTTAATTTGGGATATCTGTGGGCAATTAGAAGGTGCCTTTCCTTATTCTTAAATGGAAGCTTGCTTTGCTGTCTGTTAAATCCCAGTTTAGAGTTGAACATCAATGTGAAGATGATGGTATTAGCCACGGTCGACATAACATTTCTTCATACTCCTGGAATGTGATCTTAGCGTGTAAGATACTGTAAAGAAGATAATCTTAGAAAATAATTATTTTTGAATCTCCAAATAATAAAAGCCACTATGCCTGCGGCAGCGAAGGACTCGTCCTCGTGGCCCGGTGCTCCTATCTTGCTGCTTGTCTGTTTCATGGTAGCACTGGGTGATTGGTAGGCCTGGGTTTTGCTGGTGGTGTGGCTGCAGTGCAGCCCCTCCTGTTGTCCAGTGACTCTGATGGGCTTTTACTGGATCCAGCAGCATCTTGTGTGAGATGGAGGACAGTCACTGGGTTCTGCACGTTGCTGTGGTGGAATAGGGAGCTATGGCACTTGGATGTGTTCATCATGTGGCTTTTTAAATCATTCTCTGAAAAGATTCATCTAGTACTACTTCTGTAGTCAGGACCTAAATACATTATGCCATGGGAAAGTTAAATGTGAGACCAGTCAATTTAGTTCTAATGACCTGTTGAGGTAACATGTATTGTAAACACCAGCACTTCAAAGCGTAGTGCTTTGAAGACATGGATTTTTAAGTACTGTACAAGAAAATAGTTTTATTCTGCTCCTCTTGACCAAGGTGTTCAAGAAAAGATGGTCTAGATAGTTTGTCTAATGTTGTTTGTGGCCTGGTATTCCTGTCTCATTTCTAACAGTATTCAGGTAGGCAGTCAAGGAGTATTGGGTCTCCTGGTTATCTGGCAGTAATGCTGGTAGGAATTAGAGGACATTCCCCAATGTAATATTTCCTAAAGAAGATAAAGACATAATGCAAAAGTTTTTGAAGTATAGGGGTCTTGCATTTGCTAGCCCATGGAGATAGAGTTTTGAATGACTAGGCTGTCATCTGCATCCTCCAGGCTACTGAAGGAGGTTGGAGGTACAGCTTGTGAAACGGGCAGTGCTGCTGCTGCTGGAGTCCTCTGCCTTGGGAGGCTGGTGGGGCTGCAGCTGGAGGGCAGAGCTCCTTCTGCCAACAGATCCCTTGCTGATCTGACAGATCGCTTGGCTTGCTGTAGGAGTGTTGCTGTTTACCTGCAGGTGAGTCTTCCCACATTTGCTTAGATAGCTGCCAATTAAATTATTTTGTGGACTTGTAGGTGAGTCAGTCTGCAGTACGATTTGCTGAAAACAGCATACATCTAAAAAAATTACTTTTCTGGTGTTGTGAAATAAGATGA